CGGGCGTGCGAGCATGGAAGTGGCCCCCGCGGGACCCCCTCCCACGGCGGGGGGATGTCAGCACCTTGGAGCCGAGACCCTCATCCCCTTCCAGCCAGCCCCCCCTTGCTGACCCTGCTGCTCCCCTCCCCGATGCAGGAGCGTCGCTGGCTCCTGCCTCCTGCCTGTCCCCCTGCCCATGCAGCCCACCTTCCCCTGCCCTGCAGCACCGGGGGTCCCGGGCAAACCGGGGGTACCCCTGTGGGAGGCAGCGCAGCCGGGCAGGGCTGTGGCTGAGTCACGGTGGAGGAATCCCTCTCGGACGAGGGCAGGGCTCGTGACTCACGCTGCTGTTTATGGGGCGAGTGGGGTTCGGCTGGGCGCTGCGCCTGGCTGCTCACACGGGATCCCAGCGATCCGGCGGGATCCGGGGTAGACTCTCAGGGTCTCTCCAGAAGGGACCCTCAGGGTGAGGGGCAACCAGCCCCCAACATCTCATTTCTAGATGCAGATCGGCTGCAGTACACAGAAACAATTCAGGATGTCCCCGCCTTGTGCACGCTTCCCCGCAGGACCCGGGCATCTGGGCTGGGGCTCTGAGCAGTCTCAACCCCTGTGCCCGTGCTGGTCACATTATTTCCCACACTGGAGCTGCTTGGAGCAAACACGGGTGCATGGGGAACCTGGGGGGCACGGGAGGGGCTGCTGCAGTGCACCAGTGCGCAGGCGACCTGTGTGTCGGAGAGAGCGTTGCACGGGCATCCGTGTGGGCAGGGGGTGGTTTGTGTGCCCGTGTGCTCGGCAGCTGCACCCCTGGGTGCTCCTCCTGGAAAGCCCTGGGGCACTTTGCATGGCACCATATGGCAGATGGGGAGAGGGACGGTGCGGGGCCCTGGGACAGGGACGGGGCTGCCAGGCTCTGCAGCTGGCCCCAATTTAGGGAGCTCAAACCCACGCTCCTGTCCTCGTGTCTCCGGCGGGATCAGCTCCAGGCACCCTGCACCAGCTGCTAACCCAGCCCTGGCGGTGCACCAGCCTCGAGGTCCCACGTGCCGCAAGGTTTGCAAGATTTCAGAAAATGCCCTGAATGTGTGTTCCCCCACAGTTCCTCTCCAGCTGCCAAATCTCTGGGAGGAGGAAGACACATTTTCTCTGCAATCACCAGAGACTGAAAGGTTGGCTGTCTTTGAGATGCTTGAGGCCAGGCCACCTTGGGTTTCGCCAGACGAGGATTTACCCTGACTCCCTCCTCCAACCCAAACAGGCTCTTGGGGATGGGTGGCAATGCAAACATAACTGGGGGTTTGCAGGGAAAAGCCAGGCGGCCTCCCCTGCTCCCCTGGGAGCAGCCTCCTGCCAGGATGGCCACCACCCTGGAACAAGCCCTGGCCTCCAGCACTGCCACCTTCCACGAGTGCTCGGAGAAGGAGGGTGACAAGTACCAGCTGAGCAAGGGCGAGCTGAAGGAGCTGCCCAGCTTCATGGGGGTGAGCGTGAGGACACCCGGGACCGAGCCCCACCAGCATCCTCACATCTCTCCCCACCACTGGGGAAGATGTGGGGGTCAGGGAAGGGCTTGCTCCTCCCTGAAACAGGTTTCCCCCATCCACCGAAACCACCCGTTGCAGTTGATGCCTACCTGTGCCGCGGCCGGCGAGCACCGTCCTTGACCCTGCTGATGCTCTGTGCCAAGAACAACTGGATGAGCGCAGCTTCTGGGTGCTGCTGAAGGACCTGGAGGACAAGGTCAACATGATGAACTTCAAGGAGTACGTGGTCCTCCTGGGCTGCCTCAGCATGCTCTGCAATGACTTCTGTGCTAAGGCTCATGGCCCCGCCAACCGGCATCGAGCCCCAGCCCATGGCTTGAATAAAACTGCTGTCACCTCCCCAGCCCCACTGCGGAGCCTGTTCGTTTGCACTGGGGTCACCGGGATGGGATTGCTTGGGACCGTCTGTCCCGGGGAGACCGGGGACACCCAGAAAGCTGGCGGTGTGGGGGAGAGTACAGTGATGGCTTAGGGGAGGATGTGGGTTGGTGACCAGCTTTCTCCGGGGAGCCCCAAGGGGTGCACCAGCCCTTCCCAGTCCCTGCGCCCATCCCTTGACTTGTGCCTCCGTCCCCAGACTCCCCAGTAGGGCCGGCAGCTCCTCCCAGCAGCACCCAAACCCACCCACCTCCCGCTAATGGGATCACACAGCTCGTTAGGCAAAAATGAGGCGCAGGCAAAACCACCTGTGTGGAGCTGCTGGGAAAGCCTGGAGGCGAGGGGGCTGCGTGGGGCACGCTGGGCAGTGCCGCCCTGGCTGGGCTATAAATGCCCATCGCGCTCCAGCTGCAGCACCCTGGCTCCTTGCTGCTGCCTGGTCTGTGCTGACCCCGGTGAGTCTCTGCTCCCCTTCCTTGTGCATTGCTCGCTGTGCAGCTTTGCTCTCCAGCTGCAATTCACCCAGCAGTCGCTGCACCCTGAAACGCCTCCCTGAGAGGCACCGGGGTTGCAGCCGCCCCTCTGCAGCATCATGGACCGATTTGGGCAGGGTGGGGGGGACAGACCCCCATTGCCGCCCCATGCCTACCCTGACCCCATCCCCGGTGCTCTGCCCTCCAGGCGTGCAGGAAACTGGTGATGGCGTGTCCCCTGGAGCAGGCGCTGGCTGTGACGGTCACCACCTTCTACAAGTACTCGGGGAAGGAAGGGGACAAGTACAAACTCAGCAAGGCGGAGCTCAAGGAGCTGTTGAACAAGGAGTTGCCCGTCTTCAAGAGCGTAAGTGGCCGTGGGGGCACATCCCTTTGCATCCCTCGGAGGTGCCCAGGCGCGGGCAGGAGGTGTTGTAGGGGCAGGAGCAAGCTAGCCTCGGGTCTTTCCACATAGCACGATGGAAAACCGGGGTGAGCAGAGGTGGTCTCTGAATTTCCCCAAAGCACGCACGATAGATGCAGCCCATGTGCGACACGCTGAGACCTCGTGCTCTAGGGCAAGCCCTGGGGAGAAGGAGGGATGAGGTCAGGAGGATCTGAGCTGGAGCATGCTCAGATCGAAAGGAAACTTGGCTTTCTTATACCCGCAGAAATATTTTGACTGGCAAAGAAAATCGTACTCCGATTTCAATTTTTTAAATCCTTTTTTAACCCCCACTTCCCCTTCTAGCTTGTGGTTTAATTTGGGAGGAGGGAGGAGAAATTTTTCAGCCAAACTTTTTCATGACTGAGAGGCATATTTGCTGTAGCCGTGCCAGCATGCCCCAGATCACAGGGGCATGCTGTGGGGGCAAGCAGTGGGGCTGGATGGAGAAGCACCTCGCTCATCCGTGCACCCCGAAACCGCTTACCCCCACCGCGCTCTCCCCCCTTGCAGAAACGAATGGACGAGGCGGAGTTCGAGAGGCTCACGAATGACCTGGACCACAACAAGGACAGCGAGGTGGACTTCAAGGAGTACATCTGCTTCCTGGCCTGCATCACCATGGGCTTCAATGAGTTCTTCAAGGATGGCCCCACCAAGCAGCCCCGCAGAAAGTGACCCCCGCTGCCCACAGCGTCGCTGCAGGGCTTTCAATAAAAGCTTTTCCAAAGCCTCGGTGTGCATCAGCAGGGTTTCATGAGCCGTACGTTAGCGGGCAGCTGGGTGACTCATGCCTCCTCCCTGGGATTTTCCACGGTGCGACTCAGCCCCGGGAGGCGTTTTTTGGAAAAGCCTGAGCAAAACAGCTCAGTGCCGCCTCCAAGCAACATATTCGGACATCCCCCCCTGAACCGTGCTTGCTGGCTCAGCGAGAGGTTCAGTGCGCATTTAGCTCAAAACATACGAGCTTCCCCGAGCCCAGCTCAGCTTGTAGGTCGGCATGAGCTGCCCTGGGTAACGCATTGGGTGTGGGGAGAGAAAGCTGGTCCGGAGGAACCGGACAGCAAGATGCAAGGTCTGTGCAAAACACAGTTTCCCACAGAGAAGAGCTGTTTCTGAGCAGCTGGAGGAGACCCTTAGCCCCCTTGGGATATGGACGAGCCCATGCTGGGGGACTGCATTGGAGAAGGTCAACCTGAGCCCCCCAGGTTTACCCTGGAGCCGTGGGGCTGCAGACAAGCTGCAGTTTCCTGAGCACATCAGTCTGTGATACTGGCTGGGAAGCACGGGGCTCACACCCCACACCCCCCCACCTCCCCACAGCCGCAGCAGCTCCTGGCAGGTCCAGGCTGGTTTGCAGAAGGTGCTGCAGCTGTTCTCCAGCTTCCCCCCCCCAGCCGGCAGCTCCTGGCAGGTCCAGGCTGGTTTGCAGAAGGTGCTGCAGCTGTTCTCCAGCTTCCCCCAGCAGCCCCAAAACCCCAGAGAAACCACCCGAGATTCAAAAAGTCCTTACAAAGCCTCTGCATCATTGCATGGCCCTGGCAGAGCCTGTCCCTGAGCCCCCAAGTCCTTCCTGAGCCCCCAAGTCCTTCCAGCAGCTCCAAACTTTGCTCTGCCCCTTCCCAGGGTCTTTATAAAGAGCCCCTGGGAGCTTCTGCCCCCTCCCAGTAATTTACACCAGTTTGCTAACAGGGAGACGAGGTTCAGGCTTGGGGGTTTCTTTTGCCAAAATGGTCCTTAAAGAAACCCCTGGGGAGACGCTGTGCGGTGTTTGGTGAGGTTTTGCATCCTGCTGGACATCGGAGCGAGCTGGAAGCGGGGCTTCACCCCCTGTTTTTCTCACTCGGGTCCCCGCAGCAGTGGGTGCCTTTGTCCCGAGGGGGCTCAGCCAGGCTCGGGGACACTTGGGGTATTTGTCAGCCCTTGCACCACGGCGAACAGCTGGCTTGCCCCGCGGCAGGGGGGTTGCAAACTGCCGGCTCCTGGCTTTCCCCCGCAGCTCCCTGACACGTGCCCGGGACATGCAGACACCAAAACAGTGCTCTGTTACACAATGGGGCATTGTGACGCACTGCCCTCGCAGTTAGGAAACAGAAATTGCTTGCAGTCGAGTTAAAACCAGGAAAAAAAACCTCACCCAAACCCCAGCACAACAACAAAGCCATGGACAAACCCCGCTCAGGTTTGTGCTGCTCCAGACATCCCCGGGGATGCTGCCAAAACCGCTGTGCGCGGCACCTCACCCCGCACCGGCATCACCTGCTCTTGCTGGCAGCGGTGGGACGGGGTGCCCACCACTGCCCTTGCTTCATCCCTTGTCCCTAGGGATTCTCCTCAACCAGGTGGTCCCCGTCCAGCTCCGGGGGCACATTTTGCTCTTTCTAACCCAAACCAGCCCCCTTGGCAGTGCAGGAGCAGGATGGTTTGGGGGGGCCAGGGCTGCTCCCAGGGTTTCCTCTCCTCCTTTGCCAACCAATGTCCAGACAGGCGCCGGATCAGCATTGGTGCTTTCCCATCCGGGTAGCGAGGGAGGTGTCCCAGGCGGGGCTATAAATGCCGTCGCCTGACGCTGGCTCGCCTCCCGCCCTGCCCGTCCTCGGCTGTTTTGTTTGAGCTGTTGGTGAGTTGATTTTTTTTTCCTACGATGCTCTGTTCCCCCTCGCCCTGCTGGCCCTCCAGATGCCCTCCAGATGTTGCCGATGGCGCAGCTGCCCCATCTCACAGTGGGGTCCCCCAACAGAGGTTTTCCCCTGGGGCTGAGCGTGAGGCTCCTGCTGCAGCGAGCCGAGCTCAAAGGCTGCCTTTCACCTCTGAGGGCTGGAAAAGTGCATGTGCCCCTTCCCTGCCTGGCTCGGGCAGGAGGGGGCTGCTGCCTCCCCCCATGTTCTCCCCTCCGGCATGGCTTTTTTGGAGGTTGCTCGGCACCGGTACCAGATGGCCAACGCCTAGCCCGGCTGCTAGTGGGAGGGTGAAATTAGGGAGGAAATGGTGATGCATCCCGGTGCATGCCTGGGAGTGGGGCACTGGGGCAGTCTGCACGGTCTGGGGGGGGCCGGGGGAGACCGTTGGCCCCCCAGCATGGGGGTGTCTGGGGTCGCCGAACTCTGCTCTCACCTGCTTGTGCTGTTGGTGCCTCCAGGCTTGCTGGCATCCCCCATGGCATCTCCCCTGGAGCAGGCGCTGGCCGTGATGGTCTCTACCTTCCACAAGTACTCGGGGAAGGAGGGGGACAAGTACAAGCTCAGCAAGCAGGAGCTCAAGGAGATGCTCATGAAGGAGCTGCCCAGCTTCAGCGTAAGTGTGGGGCAGGGGGTGCCACGTCCCATGGGCGATGCTGGGACTTGGGGATGTGGCCCTTGATGCAAACCCCTATTTTAACTCCCCTCTTGCCCCTGGGCAGAGACAAACCAGTGAGGCCAGCTTACAGCAGCTCATGTGCCACCTGGACAGCAACAGTGACAGCGAGGTGGATTTCCAAGAGTACGTGACCTTCCTGGCCTGCATGGCCATGATGTGCAACGACTTCTTCCAGGACTGCCCCGACAAGATGCCGCGCAAGAAATGAGCGTGGGGCACCGGCCCTGGGCTGCGTCGCTGCCCCCGTGACCCTCCTGCTGTCTTCCTGATGCTCTTTCAATAAAGGTTGCTTTAAACAAAGTCCTCCTCATGCTTTGCAATAGGGGTTTCTTGCCCCAGGGACAGGGGTGCTGTCACACTGGGGACGGTCCCGTTTCCCTTCCATGTGCGTGTTGCTGGTACCGGATGAGGAGCGAGAGCAAGGGCGCTTCCAAGCTGGAGTTTGCTCCGCCGCGGCATGGGCACTGCGTTCCCTGAGCCCTCGTAAACCGCCCACGGGGCTGATCCCCACCAGCCACGTTAGTGTGAGTCAGCGGCGGGCTCTGCTCAACAGCACCCTGCCCTGCAGCCCTGGTAACTGCTTCGTGGCCGTGCAAGGCAAGGCAGGAGCTTTCGCAGGGATTAATGCCTCTGACCGGCACCGTGATAACAGTGACGGGTGAACAACTCTTTTTTAGCCATGATTATTAAGCTCACCCGGGGTCAGCATCTGTCCCCCCACCTGCTGCTCCGTGGGGCAGGACCTGCTGCATTGGGAAGTCACCCAGGACCCTTGTCCCTTCCCCACCCCAAGTGAACCCTTGGGAGCAGGGTTTCAGTTGCGTTCCTGCTTGGGGTGGGGTTATGGCGTGCAGAGGAGTGGCTTCCCCCGTGCACCCAGCCAGTCCCCCTGGGCCGCCAGCATGGAAGGACTCAGCCCATGGCTATAAATGCAAGGAACCGTGCAACCACAGCCCTCCCTTCCCTGCACCGGAGCCTGACCTGCTCACGTCTGTAAGTTTCCATTTCCTCCCTCTGATCCCCTTTGCCCCTCACCGAACAGCTGCGGCCAACCCGGGCTTGCGTGCCGGGCTCCAGATGTGCAGCATGCCTCTTCCAGATGGGGATGCCCCCCCCGCCACCCTGCTGGGAGCCAGACCTTTATCAGCGGGCTTGGGGCTGCTCCCAGAAGAACCGGCGAGCGGAGATGCCATGAAGGCTTCGCTTTGTCCAGCCCCAGCTTTGCCCCCCCCCCAGGATGCCCCCTCCACCAGCCCTGGGGCTGCATGCGGAGCTGACCGGCAGCCACGTTTGGGCTGTGCCCCGTGAGGCACCCTGCAGACACAGG